CGGGACCAGGAGTGGAAATTGGAGGCTGTCAAAGCTTGCCCTTGTAAAGATTTGGGAGTTCTCCTGCCCAAGTATACTAGAGCTGTTGCTCCATCTCAGAAATCTGGCGGCTCCTCTTCAAAGAAAAGGGGTGAGCTAGTTTCCTCTCCTTCTTTTTTTTTTTTTTTTTATCTAACCCTTCTCTACTTTTGCAGCAAGTAAGAAGGTGGTGGTGTCCCGCTTTTCTAGCTGGAGCCCTCCTTCTTCCAAAGTGGCAAGGACGGATGATGGCCCCCATGTGACTCCTACGGTGGCTCCTTCTCAATTGGCAACTTCTCCAGCTGCTACTCCAGAATCTTTCTTGTCAGGCACATCTGTTCCACCTTTATCCTCTCCTCGTGTTACCCCTCCTTTGTCTCCTCCTTGTTCAGGAACTTCTACCCGAGTGTCGATTTGGGCTGGTCCTATGATGGGGAGACCGACAGCTATCAGGGCAAGGCTTGGGAGGTTTGTGTTTGGGCCAGAAGTTTCTGAGCTTAGCGCTTTGGACATTGATAATATCGTCATCACGTATTTGGAAGGTCTGGCTTAGGTAAGGGTCTGTTATTTCCCTTTCTCCAGTCGTTTCCTGTGTTTTTGACTTTTCTTAATCTCTTGTCTCTCCTTTTTTTTTTAGGTTTCGACTTCCTCCATCTGCTTGCTTTCGAGGCCCTATAATCAAGACAAGCTGAAGTTGGATCTTAGCCTTGTGCAGAGGGAGCTTATTACCGCTCAGGAGAGGGTTGTCGAGCTTGATTCTGAGCTTTTGGTGACCCGTGAGAAGGACGTGCTCCGAGAGGGTGAGCTTGTGGCAGCTCATGAAAGGGCTTCTAATTTTGAGTCCGAGCTTTTGGCGGCCCGCGAGAGGGACGCGCTCAGGGATGGTGAGCTTGCTGCAGCCCATGAGAGGGCCACTAAGCTAGAGGCTGAGCTTTTGGCAGTCCGTGAGAGGAGTGCGCTCAGGGAGGCTGAGCTTGTAGAGGCCCATGGGAGGGCCATGCTCAGAAAGGCAGCTGTTGCAGAGGCAAAGTTGACGGCTGCTCGGGAGAGAGTTTCCCGCGCTGAGGAAGACTTGGAGAATGGTCTTGCCGGTGTTTTTATTTATGGTTTCGAGGATCTCCAAGGGAAGGTTTCTACCGCTTTCCCTAATGTTGATTTCTCACCTTTCGTGCCCACTGACGACAGTGATGAGGGGGTATTTGATGCTGTTGATGACAATGAGGAGGAGGTGGGAGACGACCATGAGAGCAGTTAGAGTGTTTAGGACTTTTGATTTTTTTTTATTTTTTTTTTTTGAAAAGGCGGTATCTGGCCTTATTTTTGTACCGATACTCCTTTGAAATGAAATACAGAAAATCTTTTTGGAGTAAATGGCCTAGAAAATTTTATTAATTTATTGCTTATAAAAAGCGGTATTGGGTGATAATTCCCAAAGAATAAAAATACATTAAAATCTTGGATAACACCCCTAAAAATCAAATCAAGTCTCAACTTCTACTGTTTTGATGCTCTCAAGGTGTC